TGAATGGGGCCATGTATCGTGAGATTTTGAGTGAAAACCTCCTTCCATCAGCAAGGGCATTGAAGATGAAACGTGGCTGTGTCTTTCAGCATGACAATGATCCCAAACACACCGCCCGGGCAACGAAGGAGTGGCTTCGTAAGAAGCATTTCAAGGTCCTGGAGTGGCCTAGCCAGTCTCCAGATCTCAACCCCATAGAAAATCTTTGGAGGGAGTTGAAAGTCCGTGTTGCCCAGCGACAGCCCCAAAACATCACTGCTCTAGAGGAGATCTGCATGGAGGAATGGGCCAAAATACCATTAACAGTGTGTGAAAACCTTGTGAAGACTTACAGAAAACGTTTGACCTGTGTCATTGCCAACAAAGGGTATATAACAAAGTATTGAGAAACTTTTGTTATTGACCAAATACTTATTTTCCACCATAATTTGCAAATAAATTACAATGTGATTTTCTGGATATTTTTTTCTCATTTTGTCTGTCATAGTTGACGTGCACCTATGATGAAAATTACAGGCCTCTCTTTTTAAGTGGGAGAACTTGCACAATTGGTGGCTGACTAAATACTTTTTTCCCCCACTGTAAACATAGTAAAATTCCACCAGAAAGTGTACTCATTTTCCAGGTACTTCACATAAGAAGCATTCCCAGCAAATTATAGACCAAGAAGAAAGAGAGAAATGATCAGGAAAATCTGGCATGGATTGTGCTATAAAGGAAGCAAAATTCATCCATACATAGATGACTAGCACTTATTAAATATCAGATCACAAGACATATTACACAGACCAATTTTTGTTCAGAATTTCTTATAAAATGCTTTTGCAGTGGACGGCCATGTAAATAGTGGCCTTTGTTTTTTCTCTGTTAATCGGAGCATGTTCCAGGACAGTGAATGGAGGGGAAACATGAGCCTTCCGGAACATGGGAAACAGATGCTCCACACTTCTGTCTGCAGGCACCTTCGTTTGAAAAGGCAGGAGAGGGGGATGATAGAGAATAATAAAGAACAGAGTTGAAATGTAATGAAATAATGGGTTTGAAAAGAAACCTGGATTTGACTTGGGTAAAACCTGATCCTCTTAGGAAAATAATGGTTTGGATGACATCATTGCTTTTCGGTAAGATAAGTCACATGTATAACAGAGTAGATTCAATTCTTTGTTTCAGAAATGTCTGAACATGTAAAATTCAGGGAAGTATTTCAGGAGTGTTTTACCAGTTGCATAAACTATTGAACATTTCAGAGTAATTGTTGGCATATTTGTAGTGAGCTTAGCATCTTTTGTCCACAAATGAATGCAACAATACACATATTACTTGGTAACCTCTAGTGAACAGCAGTGGCTCTGTGTATCCCATATTCATACCAACTGTTAATCCATGTCATATCTTATTTATGCATACCACTGTCCCTTTTAATTAGACATTTCAGGTCAGTGCAAAACCCATCCTCCTCCAGGCTGTGGCAAGGCAGACGTGTGAATGAAATGCCTTCAGTGTTATTTGATTGAAAATAGGCCATTACAGCCATATTCATAATGGCAACAGTCTTTACATAATGTATGCTCTCCAGAAACGATCCATCTTGGGGTGAAACAGCAACTTGTATTGGGGAAGCACCAGAAAAACAGGATGAAACACAAAAGCACAGATCTGTCTGGAAAAATAAAGTACCATGCTAGACAAGGTCATTATAATGTAAGCTGGTCCCATCATAGAAAAAAAAAACTCAAGCTAGGCTTTTTTTTGTCCACATTAATGCTACAATTAATTATGATAATCGCTTCTGGGCATGAAAACAAACATCCATTTTAGAAAACCTGGCCTTGCACTAGATCTAGGAGATAAATATTTCATTGATATTTTATTGTTGAACTGGTATATTAAAAAAAAAAGTGAACTGTGTTTAATTTTGTGACCACTTCTATAATAAATGGCTGACTGGTTTAATTGAGCTGGCATTACTGTTGAAACCAAAGACAAAGCAAATGTAATACAATTGATTGTCAATGGATTTGTATAAACATTTAAATGCTCTCTCAGCTCTGAAAAAAGCTGAGCTTAAGCTCTTGGGTTGGGTGCAAATAGCATAGTTTTTCAAACACACTCAAAACCATTCTAAAGGCGTCATTCAAGGTTCCTTTCATGGACAACTGCATTCACAGCAAGCTGCTATTGTATTCCTATCTAATGCATTATGCTTTGTTGAATATTCATAGCTGCCTTGTCCAGAGAGAGGAGTGTGAGACAGACTGGGCCCTGGGAAAATTGTGGTGAAGTTGGGTTGAACAAGTCACAAAGCATTCCTCTGTGATTGCAACACATCTGCTGAAATCCCATCCAGACAGAGGGCCATTTCTAATGTCTGTCTGGACAGTCTATTTCTAGGATGTATTGTTGTTGTATGTAACCCCTTGGCAAAAAAAAGATCAGAGACTGACCGTTTCAATTTGACTCATCTACAAGCCACAGAGTGCCAAGATTAGAAAAAGATATACAGTGAATATTGTAAACATTATATTCTGTTTAAATGTATTTTGTCTGAAGGATATGCATTCATAACATTGAAATATCCACAGTGCCTCCATACCAAGAAGTATGCATTTTGTGCGTGCTTATACATTTTTCAAGTGAATAAGCACAAAGTAACTTGAGGAGCACTGAAGAAAATGGCCAATAAAAACAGTTTGAGGACTAAAATATACCTTTTCCTAAGAGGAACTATGGGAGTCCTGACGGATCACATTACAAGACAAACACTCCTCTGGGTTCACTGGGCCTTGTGTTTCACCTGACCTCATAATTTGTTGTTCTTACTTGCCATTTGATCTGTGGGATTAGTTACTGGTAGTCTGTGTTCCTTCAACAGAACTTTGAATCAGGATGGGCTATCTTTGTTTAATCTATATACATGACCATACCCTACTCAGTAAAGTTAAAGCTTACACTTTTTAAAACAGACTGCATGTTGCAGTTGAAAAACTAAGCATTTGAACAGACTTTTCAACCAATCATATAACAGTTTTGTTCACAAACTGGCACATATGTGCCATAAATCAAATTGAATAGATAGCAGCCAGGAATATTTATCTTAATCAAGTTCAATAAGATATACTTACACTTGATCATTATCATAATCTCTACCTGAATTAATCTAATTATTCTGCCATTAGATTAGACAATTATCACGTTTTTTTTATTTTTACATTTAAAAAAACAACCCATACACAATGATTACCTCAAGGAGTTTATGCAATCTGTTTCTGTTACTGTTCCTGGAAAGTACAGGCTGGAAATGTGAGAAAATGTGATCCACTGTCCCGCCTAGTGGCCAAACTCCTAAATCACCGTTATATTATGAGAGTTATCTCCTAGACAGCAAGATGACTTTACCCTGTGAGATGTCATGGATCTCTCTAACTGTTGACATCACCATTGTACCCTTACTGGAGGGCTGCATGACCAAAATGTACATACCTTCCATCTGGAGAATGCCTTTTCTGGGAGCAAAATATAGATAGCCTATTCCAAAGGTAGGGAATAAGGAAAATTGGGTTGTATTCATTAGTGCACACCATTTCAAAACGTACCAAAACGCTTTGCAATGGAAAATGAAAGTGAGTGTTTCTTATTAGACAAATTCAGATAAACGGGGAGGGATCTATGTCCTTTTTCTTCCGTTTGGTGCCTAATGAATACTACCATCTAGTGCCATAGCAGAGCCAGGACAGGTAGTCATGCAGTTGGGAGGGTTGGTGTGACACTTCTCATGCCTGACAGTTGACAGTGATTTATAATATTAAATAGCCCTTAAGGAGTAATTAGACTGTCCTCAATCCGTTGTCCTAATTCATCACCTCCTATTTAATTATGCATTGACAGATGTATATTTAGCTGTAAAGTTCTGTAACGATCTGAGGAATGGACAGAATAATGCTGATATGAATATGGTTGATGTCACTTCAGATTTTGCACTTTGGGGTTAGGTAGGTTTGCAAAAATCCCAGAAATGGAAGACTTTCGGAATAAGGGAATAGTCAGAAAATCCAGGAGTCCTCCAACTGGGTTTTCTGGAAATAACTGTGAATTTTGGGAGTTACTGGAATTTTGAAACCCTAGGGTTAGGTAGGATTCTTTTCATACAGTACATTATAGGAGGTATTTCCATGCCTTTGGGTTAAAAGGTTGGAAGCACCTCCTAAAGGAAAGGAAGGTCGAACCAGTGTCGAACCAATGTATGAGGGATTACTTTGAGATTCCATTGACAAACTATGTAACATTGTTATCCATGTCGACTTGTCAAAGAAGCAACAAGTACAGCAACAACGTCGACTGCAATATCATGTACTAGCTATGATATATACCGTCTCAAACAAGCACAATCTTACAAAGTTTGCCCACAAGATGAGATGCTCACATACACAGAGTGTACAAAACATTAGGAACACCTTCCTAATATTGAGTTGCACCCCCTTTTGCCCTCAGAACAGTCTCAATTCATCAGGGCGTGGACTCTACAAGGTGTCGAAAGCGTTCCACAGGGATGCTGGCCCATGTTGACTACAATGCTTCCCACAGTTGTGTCAAGTTTGCTGGATATCCTTTGGGTGTTGGACCATTCTTGATACACAAGGGAAACTGTTGAGAGTGAAAACCCAGCAGCGTTGCAGTTCCTGACACAATCAAACCGGTGCGCCTGGCAGCTACTACCATACCCTGTTCAAAGGCACTTAAATCCTTTGTCTTGCCCATTCACCCTCTGAATTGCACACTAACACAATCCATGTCTCAATTGTCTCAAGGCTTAAAAATCCTGACATCAATAAGGGGATCATAGTTTTCACCTGGTAAGTCTGTCATGGAAAGAGCATGTTCCTAATGTTTTGTACACTCAGTGTAAATCAAACATAGGACAGGCAGGCTCATAACTCACAGGTAGCCTCGGACTTCAGGCTTCAACAAGAATGACCTTGAAAGGATGGTCACGCGAGACTAACTCACAGGTGATGTCCAAACTTTATTTTGAGTAACAAACAGGGCTTAGCTAAAGCCAAATGAAACAAATATCGCACAGTAATCAGCAAAAAGCTTTCAAATACAGTCATATACCTTACAGGGATGTAGTGCTGACAAAACACCATTTAAGCACCACTCCCCAAACTGTAACATATCACTAATGCATTAGTAAACCACTGACCGTATTCATATTAGTAAAAATGAATTATAAGTGTTTATTCAGGTATCCCACAAAGGACATTACTAGAGAAAGACAAACAATCCTCGCTCAAAAATGTTTTCTCCCATGAATAGAAGTTTATGCATGTCATTACAGACTAATGCACAACAAATCATATCTATTATAAATGTAATAATCTGTAGAAGCCTGTTACAGCACACAAATGACAATGGGACACAGAATTACAGATCCCTTGCTGAGAAAATGCACACTGGTTGAATGTGGCTCTTTGACATATTTTACCAGCCTTAATCGGTTTGAGATATGAATGATGGATTAGTCCCTCTGTACTTTCAATTACTTGTATTTATCTCATATTGAGAACTAAGGGTAAGAGACTGAGTATGAGCACTTACAAGGGCAATACAACATAAAGATGTGTGATAATGATAACGTATCTCAATCAGACTCGCCATGCGGTACAAAGATCACTAACTTTATGACAGAAAACAACAGGAGACCGAACTTCTTTGAAGATTGAAAACAGTGATTCTCACAATTCAAAAGAGTATTTAATTAATTGTAACTGCATGCAACGCATTCAGTGCGTAGGCTAAATGTCATTTGAAAACACCATTTCCTTAGGATCCTGTTTGGTTAGCACAAACATTCATGATTCAAAGAATAAAGATTCAGAAAAGCAGACTGACCCAATACCCATATGGGAGCCCATTCAGACAGGCAAAGGACGGGGCATACCGTGGCATTAGTTGGTGGTGTAGCTACGCATGTCCTTGCATTGTAGGATGTAATTTTACCTGTCAAATCATCTTTTCCGGACAATGGAACCAGTCTCAATTAAGAGAAAGGTCGCCTTTTTTTCTCCAAGGCCTCTCATCCAACAGCGACTCCACACAGCAGAATCTAAGAGCAGGATCTTCATTACGCCATGTCATCAGTCTCCTCTGTCTCCACTAGGCAGGCCTCATCAGAGGTAGGAGCCCTGAACGGGGGGTGGTACTCGAATGATGTGAGGACGGCACCGTGTTGGTGATTTTGGTGCAGGAACCAAAAGACTGCCGAGATCCCCATGATGGCGACCACACTCAGAATGACCAGAGCTGAGAGCAGTGGACTGGTAGCTGAGCAGGACAAAAACAATGTAGGGAGAGAGGTCACCATTGAGCTTACTGTACGGCTATCTAAGAACAAAATAAAGGAAAATGGCTTTGCTTCACTTACTGGGTTTGCCGTTTTTCTCTGCTTCTGAAAAATAAATTAACAATATATCAGTGAAATATGAGTAAAAATAACTCATATGAATGAAAATAATAACATCTGTATACACTTGTTTATCAAATTGACATAACAACACATTGCTGCTGCAGTGGGCCTATGTCAACTAGTCTATGTCGGCGGGAAATGAAAATAAATGTTTCTGTGTTCTGTGGTCGGAGGCTATTTGACGGCCGCCCGCTGTGCATGGACGATGTTCGTTATGGTGTGTCCCGTCTCTTAGAGTAGAAAGATTATGGTTCACAAATGCTGCTAAAAATAGGGCCTTACTTTCAGCAGTTTCACAGACCACTCCATTCTCTGGGTTTTCAACACAGCTGACTTTCTCCCACACCCCTGTGGTGGTGTGCATGGCAACACAAGTGTCCATGGGAATCAAGTCAGGCGAGCTGGAGCTGTTCCCCCAGTTCTTAAAGCTCAGGCCCATTTCATCTTGCCACTTAAAGTCCTCATCTTATCAGACAAAAAAAAACAAGACATCAAAATTAGAAAAATAGCAATTACTTCACTCATTCTCTCTCTGTTAATTTCACATTTCTTTCATAACCCAAACAAACCTGGTCTGAAATAAATAGTTATACACATAGTGAAAATAACCCCGTTCAAAGAAAATCAGTGGCGTCTGCTTTTTTCCACATGATTTGCACATGAAAGGCATTAATATCTGGGTACGAATCACAGTTTCTTTCAGTTGCTTTTTTATCCTCCTGCTTCTGATTCCTCAATATAGAGCTACATAAAAACAGTATTTCCTGACATTGTGCAGTTCAGAACTGTTCCAAATGGGGAAGAAGCATTATTCATGCTTGACTAATCCGAAGTGGGTCAATGGGAAATCTTCCCAGGCAGTGTTGACAGTACTGTCAAAGAGTGTGTGCCAGGGCACACGTACAAGACCCGATAAACCTTATTAGCAAATAAATGTGATCATGATACTCATTACGTAAAAACAATCGTAGAAACACTGATCCCAAGGCCTAGTTTAATATGTATTATGGCAGTGGGTGAAGTAACCGCATTATGCTGTACAATCACATAATAGGGCAAAGTAGCTTTCATAAAACAGAGGTGTCATAATTTCAGAATAAATATCAGTACTTACCGTCACTGTCATAATACATGCCCAACCACACATGGATGTTGCCTTTCCACACCTGCGGACTGTACTTGATGATGAAATCATTCTCCTCTGCACTTTGGACACTCACCAGTTCTAAGAGACAACACAGGACAATCTGTAAAATCAGGAATGGGCAACTTTGAGGGGATGAGGGCCACAAAACATCTGAACTCATCATGGGGGCCCGGGTCTGCATACCCACATCCATACATGCAGTCAGCGCCGGCCTTAGCCTTTAAGTGACATTTACAAGAGGAAAACTGCTTATGCACAAGCAAATTTCGAAATTGCACCTTGTGTATTCTACTATTCTAACTTTGAATAGTTGAGACCGACAGTTTTTTTTGTCTTTGGAAATTGATCCGGGGGCCTACAAAAGGGGGGCAGTTGCCCATCCCTGACCTAAATGATAAAAAAGTTGCAACATAATGGGATACAAAAGTCATGAGTACCATATCCTGAGCAGAGAGACTTCGCAGCTTCAATCGTATAACTTTTAGCTATGTCTTCTTCTCCATGGACAAAGTGGTAGCATCTTTGTCCAAAAGGCACCCAGGTGCGCCCATCTGCAGGACAATCTGTGGGGAGAATTAATCATGAGACAAAACCACTATAGTCTCAACCCCACTTTCAAACAAAGTAAGGTGTCCCTGGTCCAACCTACATTTCCAACAGCTCACCGAAAACAAGTCAAGCAAGAGCCACCAGTGTTACCAGTTGGGATGTGACTGGTGTAACAGAGTTAAGAATGTAGCGTAAACTCACTCCACAGCTAGATTGAAATGTCGCGGATGGAACCTTCCAATTGGTACCTTTTGGGTATAGTCCTTAGAATAGTCCTTTGGAGGAAGGATTGTTTACATATATTTGACATTTGTATCTAAAAGCATAATTGAGAAATAACTTATCAAAGCTGGCCTATTTATGACATTTAATACTCCATAGTGTTTCATCTGTAGGTGCTACAAAGTGTCAGATGAAGCTCTACCGCTTGCTCTGTAATATGAGTAGTATTTTGATTTAAAAAATCATTTAATTTATGAATATTCCAAAATATAAACATGAATATTGAAAATATACAATTTTTGATTTGGCTCATTTTTCTATATATTGATGAACATAATATACTCTACTTGCATATCAAAGTTCCAGAGTGGGATTTCTGCTACAGGTATGATCACATTTGTCAGCATTACCGTGAACGTGAAAATGGATTCAAAAAATGGTCACCCTCTGTGATTGGAGGATGCGCAATGATACAAGTAAAAGGCCAATTTATAGGTATGAAATGGGTCATAACTTTAAAATTAGCAGGGATCCTACTCTTTTTTTGTTGTTGTCTGGTTTCGTGAGGAATCACTGACTTTTTTAAAGCAAGAGAGTCTTTAGTGCGATATCTATTTACTGGAAGCATTAAGTACTTCTAAAGCCACAGTCTGGATGTTTTCCAGTAATTTCAACTAATTAAATATACCCCTTGACTTTAATGTATGTATACCTTCGTGAGATTAGTGCAATTGCATTATCTTGTCAAATAGAAATCAAGTGCCATGTCAGCGAAAATGTCATGGAATAAATTGTTTGTTTCCATTTTGTAGGTGGGCCCACTTGGAGATTATGCACATTTTACAGAAGACTATCTGAAGACTAGGCTACACTGCCTTGCTACCTTTGGAAATTATATGGACAAATATTGTTTGCTTCAACATTATACCTCGATGTCCGAACTATACATGGTTACAAGCCAAATCACGAGGGCAGCTTTATGCCTGTCTAATAAATACTAGAATATTTGGCATGTAATCGAATGAAAATATAAATCCCTACAAAAATATATGCGGACATGGAAATCGTGAGCATTAGTGCAATGTTACAATGTTGTTCAGTGAACTTTGCCGAAATGTTATCCCGTTACAAGTTTAAACTGAAAGCACAACAAGTACTTAAACTTTCTCGAACAACACGAAGGGAGCATTTGCCATCCACTTAATATAATAAAATTAAACAATACTTAATTATCTCAACTTACCACCAGCTAAAGTAGATTGCCAATAAACAACAACGAAAAGGACATTGCACAAGGTTAAGGTGCGAAGGTGCCATTTCATCATTGACTCCATGTCCGCGAGCTCCAAAAAATTTCTGAGCTTCGTACGTCAGCATCTCACATTGAAATGTAATCCCACCCCTACAGTGCCTGAATTGACATGCTCCCTCAAAAAGTAGACTGTAGCAAAGTTCAGACTCAAGCGTATGTTTGAAGCTTGTCAAAACAAATGATCATACCATAAACTTTATTTTGAATTGCATGATATTGCATAGCTGCATGTTGCTGAAATGATTAGTGAAGTTGAAGAATAACATTAAATTCATAAAATTCTATAGAATTTTCAATTGCTTTATTATGGATTATGGAGAAGGAAGCAAGATCATTCAAAATTAGGGGGAAGTGTGTCTATTTGGTTATGTTTTGTTTTGTCACAGGAGTAGGGCCCCATGGGGACATTGATTTAGAGAATACCCATAAAACCTCTAGATGGTGCCATAACTGCATACATTTGTATAGATTTCAGTGATTGCAACCCAGTGGTATCACATTCTGCCTAGAGTGCCTCTTTATGTTTTGAAAAAATTACAGAATAAATATATCACAGTCACACAGGAACATATTTTATACATTTATTCAACTGAAATTAGTGAGCAATTGGATGTAAATAAGAAGCACAATAAATTCCATTCATTTTTAGGTTGTACAGCCTGATCCTTACTTAGGCCTACCATGACTCAAATGATGAATAACATTATTGTCTCATTAATGAATCCAAAACTCCCAGTGATTCCGCTGAGTTGACCAGGATATGGCTGAAAAAACAAGATGTGAGACTTTAAGAAGTGAAAAGAATGTTGGTGAGAGCTGGAATGGCAGAGCGCTCAGTGGGGTACGTGAAAGCCTCATTTCTAGACAAAAGAAGATTAGAGACACTGCATTAATAAACAAGACAAAATCAACAGGGAACATAGACGCAATGTCTGCTGCATATCCACTCCAAAAATTATTCAGCAATGCCAGATATTCTTTGGAGGTTTAATAACAGACAATCTGCATAGTTGAGACTTGTAAAATGAGAGCAGATATTTAATAAGTCAACACACATTAGCAATGGACAAGACTGTGATTGATATCTCACACATACTTAATATGTAGAGGAGAGTGGGATAAATTGAGACATTTTTTTTATTCAGCATCACTCTGTCAAGGGAAATACAATATTCTTTCTAACAAAGATATCTACATATAATTCTGGATGTTGTGTATCCCTGGAAATAATCAGAATTTATGTAAACAATACAGTTCTAAAAAAGTTGTCTCTTGGCACGACTTACCCCGGGTATGGGGAAATTGTGCCGCAGGACAGGGTAAGTTAAACCGCCTACACATTTCTGTACTGAATGAAATATTACCACCATCTTTTTAAAACCATGTCTATCTCTATTTCACAAACACAATTCAACACATACACAATTGTTTTTTTTGCATATTTTAACACAGGCTTAACAACTATCAAACACTTTGTACTTAAACATTTTTTTTTTTTACATAGGTCAGGCCCTGTTGTTACCTGATATCCCAGCGATAATGCCTTGCATTATGCCAGGGAAGAAAACGCTTACATTTGCTCAACTTGCCATTGGCTCAACCATTGGCTCAACTTACCCCGATAGACTGTCACATGACTATAGAAATGGAAACGTTGTGATTTTAGAGACACAAAGTAACAATAGCCTATGATTAAAGGGACTGCATTCAATCTGTTACTAGGCTCACACCATCATCATCATTATCATTAGGCTATTCACCTAATTCAAATACAATCAAATCACACCCACAATTCAATCGCCCACCATTCATTCATTGACATCAGTGAGGAGAGACATTGGGTTTAACAACAACATAGATCTAGGACCAAGTTTGCCTGCATCTTGCCTGCGTCTATTTGGGGCCAAACACATTCTTTATAGGCCTAGATATAGTATAGGCTGTTTATAGCCTTCAACCTTTATATACTGTAACCATATGAGTGAATTTATATACAATATTCTGGTGAGATGATGGCAGTGGGATGGTAGGCCCCTAAATGGCAGGTAATCCAAGAAAGATAAGTAGGTGCCCAGTATGTTGCAATAAACTTTAGTGAACTATTAACATAATATATTTACAAAAGAATACACACACACACACACACACACACACACACACACACACACACACACACACACACACACATATATATACAGTACCAGTCAAACAAATCAAAATATATGTTATATTTGAGATTCTTCAAATAGCCACCCTTTGCCTTGATGACAGCTTTGCACACTCTTGGCATTCTTTCAACCAGCTTCACCTGGAAAGCTTTTCAAACATATGCTGAGCACTTGTTGGCTGCTTTTCCTTCACTCTGCCCTCTGACTCATCCCAAACCATCTCAATTGGGTTGAGGTCGGGGGATTGTGGAGGCCAGGTCATTTGATGCAGCACTCCATCACTCTCCTTCTTGGTAAAATAGCCCTTACACAGCCTGGAGGTGTGTTGGGTCATTGCCCTGTTGAAAAACAAATGATAGTCTCACTAAGCCCAAACCAGACAGGATGGCGTATCGCTGCAGAATGCTATGGTAGCCATGCTGGTTAAGTGTGCCTTGAATTCTAAATAAATCACAGACAGTGTCACCAGCAAAGCACCCCCACACCATCACACCTCCTCACAAAGACACAGCGGTTGGAACCAAAAATCTCCAATTTGGACTCCAGACCAAAGGACACATTTCCACCGGTCTAATGTCCATTGCTCGTGTTTCTTGGCCCAAGCAGATCCCTTCTTCTTATTGGTATCCTTTAGTAGTGGTTTCTTTGCAGCAATTCGACCATGAAGGTCTGATTCACACAGCCCCCTCTGAACAGTTGATGTTGAGATGTGTCTGTGACTTGAACTCTGCAAAGTATTTATTTGGGCTGCAATTTCTGAGGCTGGTAACTCTATTGAACTTATCCTCTGCAGCAGAGGTAACTCTGGGTCTTCCATTCCTTTGGCGGTCCTCGTGAGAGCCAGTTTCATCATAGCACTTGATGGTTTTTGCGACTGCACTTGAAGAAACTTTCAAAGTTCTCCAGTACAGTAGATGAAGGTAATCCACCATAACGTTGGATGCCAACAGCTGATAAACCCCACAGAAGAAGAAGCGGGGGCGACAACGGTAGCTAGTACACAGCGGTAGAATGTCCTTCGCCCCTGCATGTGGGGCACTTTTTTCCCGCAGTTCTGTTAATGACAGCGAGGGCAGGTGTTCGGCAGGCTGGAGCGAAGGACATTGTGTGCTAGCTACTCCTAAACTCATAGTGTCGCTAGCATACAGTGTCACCCAGTCTCCCACCTGCTAGACAGTGTCCTTTGCCCCCGCCTGTCAGGCACGGTTTTCTCCGGTACACAGCAGGTGGGAGGCGGTCTTCTCACAGAAACGTCTGTAGTGTCCGAACGGTTTGGCCTACAGACTCTCGCGAACACGATGGTGTTCTCCGTTTTGCTCTACTAACCCCACAAGTCCCACAGGACTCATCTGAAGTCGATAACGCTGATGTGCCAACTTCTGTCTGTAGCGTCCGAACCGTTTGGGCTACACTGTGGAAAGGGGAGACTCTCACGAACACACGTTTTGCTCTATGATCCCCACAAGTGTCACAGGACTCGTCTGAAGATAACCCATACAAATGGATGAAAATATGGGGGTAGTTTCGTGCCAACAAAAATAAGGGTTTAATAATAATAATAATATGCCATAGTGGCAGACACTTTTATCCAAAGCGACTTACAGTCATGCGTGCATATATTTTTGTGTATGGGTGGTCCCGGGGATCAAACCCACTATCCTGACATTACAAGCGCCGTGCTCTACCAGCTGAGCTACAGATGACCACAGTGGCTTGCGAAAGTATTCACCCCCCTTGTCATTTTTCCTATTTTGTTGCCTTACAACCTGGAATTAAAATTGATTTTTTTGGGGTTTGTATTATTTGATTTACACAACATGCCTACCACTTTGAAGATGCAAAATATTTTTTACTGTGAAACAAACAAGTAATAAGACAAAAAAACTGAAAACTTGAGCGTGCATAACTATTCACCCCCCCAAAGTCAATACTTTGTAGAGCCACCTTTTGCAGCAATTACAGCTGTACGTCTCTTGGGGTATGTCTCTATAAGCTTGGCCCATCTAGCCACTGGGATTTTTGCCCATTCTTCAAGGCAAAACTGCTCCAGCTCCTTCAAGTTGGATGGGTTCCGCTGGTGTACAGCAATCTTTAAGTCATACCACAGATTCTCAATTGGATTGAGGTCTGGGCTTTGACTAGGCCATTCCAAGACATTTAAATGTTTCCCCTTAAACCACTTGAGTGTTGCTTTAGCAGTATGCTTAGGGTCCTTGTCCTGCTGGAAGGTGAACCTCCATCCCAGTCTCAAATATCTGGAAGACTGAAACAGGTTTCCCTCAAGAAATTCCCTGTATTTAGCGCCATCCATCATTCCTTCAATTCTGACCAGTTTCCCAGTCCCTGCCGATGAAAAACATCCCCAAAGCATGATGCTGCCACCACCATGCTTCACTGTGGGGATGGTGTTCTCGTGGTGATGAGAGGTGTTGGGTTTGCGCCAGACATAGCGTTTTCCTTGATGGCCAAAAAGCTCAATTTTAGTCTCATCAGACCAGAGTACCTTATTCCATATGTTTGGGGAGTCTCCCACATGCCTTTGGGCAGAACATGTTTGCTTCTTTTTTTCTTCAAGCAACGGCTTTTTCGTGCCCTTATTCCGTAAAGCCCAGCTCTGTGGAGAGTACGGCTTAAAGTGGTCCTATGGACAGATACTCCAATCTCCACTGTGGAGCTTTGCAGCTCCTTCAGGTTTATCTTTGGTCTCTTTGTTGCCTCTCTGATTAATGCCCTCCTTGCCTGGTCCGTGAGTTTTGGTGGGCGGCCCTCTCTTGGCAGGTTTGTTGTTGTGCCATATTCTTTCCATTTTTTAATAATGGATTTAATGGTGCTCCGTGGGATCTTCAAAGTTTCAGATATTTTTTTATAACCCAACCCTGATCTGTACTTCTCCACAACTTTGTCCCTGACCTGTTTGGAGAGCTCCTTGGTCTTCACGGTGCCGCTTGCTTGGTGGTGCCCCTTGCTTAGTGGTGTTGCAGACTCTGGAGCCTTTCAGAAATATATATATATATATATATATATATCATGTGACACTTAGATTGCACACAGGTGGACTTTATTTGACTAATTATGTGACTTCTGAAGGTAATTGGTTGCACCAGATATTATTTAGGGGATTCATAGCAAAGGGGTTGAATACATTTGCATTAATCACTTTTCTGTTGTTTATTTTTTAGAATTTTTTGAAACAGAATTTTTCATTTCACTTCACCATTTTGGACTATTTTGTGTATGTCCATTACATGAAATCCCCCCCAAAATCCATGTAAATTACAGGTTGTATTGCAACAAAATAGGAAAAACGCCAAGGGGGATGAATACTTTTGCAAGGAACAGTATGTGTCCAAAAAAAGTAAAATATTTCCTGAGCTTTCTTATATCTCCTAGATATAGGACACACACTTTAAAACCTTATTCCTTATGATACACTTTTTGACTGTATTTTTTGCTCTTTATGAATGTGTTATTCAATGCGTTTCTATGGGCTATAGTAGTAAAGGCTAAATTACATTTTGTTATATATATTTTTTTATACCTAAAGGGGTCCTACAATTCTAAATCAAATAGCTAAATGATCCATGGTATTACCATCTTAAAACAAGGCTAAATTACATTTTGTTATATATATTTTTTTATACCTAAAGGGGTCCTAAAATTCTAAATCAAATAGCTAAATGATCCATGGTATTGCCATCTTAAAACAATTCCATATGTTAGCTTACTAGAACTCTCCCCCAATGGCTTAGAATTTTAGAGGTTAATAATAGACTTGTAAACACAATCACGCAATAGGCTACAGCTGGTTTCACAGCTTCCATGGCGCTTCACAGCTTCCCCGGGTAACTCAATGTATTGTAGGCTCACTCAGACAGTGTTCACTGTACAAATATAACGCATTGCAGCGATGCTTCGAACATTTTGACTATATTAGCCCACACAGCTACAAAGATGCACTTTTATGCTAGGTTTAGGACCTCATATTGAAGTTTATAGAGACCCCAACTGATGTATAGAACAATCTTTAAATGATCTACTTGGTTTAGACACAAGTATCATGAAACCTCTAACACAAAATATTTATTTGACTTGGTGAAACTTTTTTACCCGCTTACCACTTTAACTTGCTTACCACTTTTTCCAAGTGATTTCTTCCTTCACAAACTCCATGAAATTATGGCCTCTTCCTAAATATTTGGTCAAATGATTAATTTTGTGTATGGTTTCCTAGCAACAAGGGTGGTTCAACTCACCCCACTCTCCCCTACGTATATGGATATACATTTCTTATCTTCAGGAGCCCTCCAGAACCTAATACCGAGCAGACATTTTAGATTGAACCTCTGTGAGTGAAGACAGAGAAGAAGAGTAATAGACCCAGCCATTCAAAGTCATCGGACTGTTAGATGATCTAGATCAAACATAATGGTCAGCTAGAAAGATAACACTGTTATTTCACTCTCCACTGAGATGCATGGAGGTTGATGTTTCAGAGAAGTCCAGAAAAGATCAAGAGCTCTTTGTCCTCCTCCTGTGTAAAGGCCACGTACTTCGGTGGAACAGAAAACAGGATTTCTCGTAGACGCCACAATTATTACACCTTTGTTGAGGTGTTTCTTCTTGGAGAGCTGCTGTGCTGATATTACCTGCAGACAGACAAAAGGGCAGTGTGATATAGCTATAGTAGAGGCAGAAGGCGTGTCCAGCTTGTACAGTAGACGCAGGTGGCTGCAAGCCACAGACAGCTGCAGCATAGATCTGGCTCCTTGTCCGTCTGCTGCTCATGGCTTCCCGTCGGGTGGCACCACACCCCGCAGGACACCAGGAAGACCCATCTGCCAATCCAGGGCCTGGCCACAATGGTCCTCTCCAAGCTCCCGTCCCTCTATCCTCCCTCCCATCCACCACCCACCCAGGCCTGGCCACAGCCCTCTCCAAGCCTCAGTCCCTCTAGCCTCCCTCCTGTCACCACTCACCCTGGCGGAGACAGGGACATGCATGTTAACACCATGACCGGGAGATGGTGTTGATGATAATCTCTACACTGCCCTCACCCTCAGGGCTGTGAATGTGCTAGTGCCAAACACACTGTATGTCCAACTCAACAGAAGGTCTCTTCAACAGTAAGGTCTGTTCAGGCATTCTAAGGACAGACTAGAGCAGTGAGTCCTGGTATATTGATTAGATTGCCTCCATAGCTGATTTACAAAACAGTGCACAAGATGAGGAATAAAACAGACAAAAGTTTAATGATAAATTGCATTGTCAGAGTTATTTAATCGGGTTGGATTGACATGGTATGATTCTACCCCATTTATGCAATTTCCTTTTCCCGAGCCTGTCATTTTCAAACGTAACGGACCTCATAAATAAGTTTCCCCTCTGTTGCGAGAGGAAATGTGTCACATATCTTAATTGTATGAGAGAGCGGTGTCAATCTCAACTCTATGTGAGGGAAGGTCAGAGTGTCAGTGTGTTGAGACCAATAACTGGAATTCTCATGTGCTCTGAGGAAATTGCTACTGTAGGATGAATCTCGCTCCCTGGCCTTGGTGAGCCAGTCGCTGGTAAGGAGATTATACAGGCCATGCTGTACTGTCGCTCCAATCATTTCCTGAAAGCTTTTGGCTTTGTGAGGAAGATCAACAAGAAAAATTCTGCAAAGGCTGTGTCAGCGGGAACTGCTGAAATTGTTTTCCTTCAGCACCTTATCTGTGGAAACAGAGGTTACGGGTATCATTTACAAAAAGAGACAAAAATAAAAGGTTAAAATATAACACTTTTCAAAGATATGCTACATTTCTGATAGGCTTCCAATTTTTCTGGTCTTGACACATTTCACTGTAAGGAAAGAATATAAAATAATAAGCTGCTAAAACTGCTTTTTTTCTCTCAAAGTCTTATGTTTTCAATATATCCTTTAATTTGTCTTCCAATTGTTACTTCTGATTGTTACTGATAAATGTAACTCCAAAATGTATGTTTGTATAGAGCAGGAGCAGCTACCATTGGTCAAATTAAGGACCTCCAATACAGACTCCACAGTGGATTGGTGGGATGGGGTATGGATCAGCAAGAAAGAGGGAGGAGGCAAAGACAGTGAAACAAAACTTTACAGCCAAAGGCAATTACTTTGGGGAATTCGCCTGGATTGCTTTAGGCATAGAGATCCTATAACTTAAATTATGCTAATTTATAACTCTTTTTTTTTTGTCATGTTGCTACGATGGAAATGAACAAGCTCTTCATAGGCAATTGTCTCAGCTCTGAGGGTGTGTGTTTACTATTGGCAAGAATCAAGGGAAATACAACAGGCAGTGATCAATATAATGCCATCTCTCCCCTCCCACACCAACACAGAGAGTCAGAGACAGAACACAGAATAATTCCAATGGAAGTTTTTATTTAAAAAGATTCTAAGAAATTAACAGAAATAAAGCTTAAGTAACAATCTACTGAAAAACATATTTTTGGCTTTAACAAACACTACAAAACAAAAATATAGAGGAAAGTTTCCTTAAACTGGACATACAAGTTACCACTGGCAAATGTGTGGCACATGTAAAAGAAAATAACAAATTAACTCTCATATCGATATCTCTATGAAAATCTTTTTTTTCTTCAAACGATCTGTACAAAACGTATCTTCATAAATTAGTACTTTTCAATATAACTTAATGACTGTTTAACATTATGGTTAATTAAATGAGCTTTTCTTTCTTTATGCACCTTTCCAACTCTTGACCCAGATGCAGTATGGCACTTGGTTCAGACATTACTAGCAGCATAACCCTCACAAGAATTCAACAGTATTAGTTATCAGTCTCATGCGTTACACAGAAATCTCAAGTATAGTCACAATGGCCCTTCACTTTGGTAACTCAACTCAAGCTGACTTCAGAGGAAATGCTGCTGCAAGTCTGTCTGGACTCTGACAAAGCAACAATGATGTTCTCAGGAGCACAGATCCAGAAAATACCACAGCTTTCAGCTTTTATTTATCTTCAACCACTTTTATTAGCCTCTGGAATCTGGAATTGTGATGAAAGCAGCAGTTCTATTTTTGAAACTATGAAACTGAATTTCTGAACACAACTAAAACACGCTCAACGCACAATTTTCCTCAGAATGATTATAATTATACGTCATAAAAAATAAAACAATTATTGTGAAGAAAATAAAACAACCTGAAAGGAAACAAGTGTATATTGCCAGCTCCTGAGCATGGCGTTTGGTCTGGAAGGGCGGGCTGGACCTGCTAACCTGGCCCAATACAGAGGAGAAAGTAAACTCTGAGGTAGATAACTGGTCAGTCTGTCTGACCATCAGGCCAGAACATAACATATATGGGCCAGAACACAGGCTTCTGGAAGACAACTTAATCATAAAGCCTGTTCAAATCTACTATGATCAAAATAATCTAACTTTAGCAATATCATTCTGTTACACAATGTCAAAACAGATAATTATTGTATTTTTTGTAATTTCATAGTTTCAAACTGTCTTCTTTCCTGGTTTATTCATTTTATAACATTGCATTTTCCATTTTTCTGTAGTGATGAAATCAGTGTGTGGCACTTGTTGGATCCGAATCATCCTTCATGCTTGTTTGTGTCCATATTTTCCATAAAACGTATGAGAACTGAATGTAAATATACAAAAAAAGGCACATTCTCCAAACTGCAATCTAGTCTGGCAAAAAGTCAATTACATCCTGGTTAGAGAGAGAAATTAAACTATTTCCTCAATTTACTAGCTCACAGTTCTTTGGTGAAGTAAATCAAAATTGAAAGTGCCGAGCTTGTTTGTTTCCTATCAAAGAGCTAGGTGCAATAAAATCTACATATTTATCTCAGTTTCTCCCCAACTCAAACTCCATTAAACGTTTGCCGTAAGTTGTACTGGAAGGCTTTGATAGTTTTTGCACAATAATAGATCCAAGTTTGCCTGTTTGCATTTCAACTGAAAGTGAAAAAGAAACATCCTGCCAAACTGACAAAGAACAACAACATCCCCCAAAAAGACACAACCACAGCCTCCCTTATTCCACCCCCACCCCACAAAGCTTATTTTAGGCTAATCTACAACACCAAGTAATCAAAAAAGGCAAGATTCAAAATGTGATAATTCAGCAGAATTTCTACCACATTCAAACAACCAGAGACATTTAAGGCCCTGTGATTATACAAACATTACATCCTATTAAAAAATCATCATCAGATTTAGCGGGTAATTCACTCTAAACTTTTTTTTCTTAAAAACGTCTACTTTAGATTCATTTTCAGAGGGGAAAAGCAACATCTAAACACAGCAGATTTATTTAGCTATATCCAAAGGAAAAGCCCTATTTCGCTGATTTACAAGGCAATAGCTCTCACCATGTCTTGCTCATTTCTAGCCTAGGTTGCCTATACAGCTACTGTGGTCTAGATGGAAAGATCAATCTAGACCACTAAGATAAATCACTGTACAATAAGAAACATTTAACACTTCACCATAGCAACACTCACACAGCAAGCACAAAACATAATTTTCAAGATGTCTGGCTAATAAAACGTCAGAAAAATCTATTTCAGTACAAAATAAGAGGAAAAACTAAATTAAAATGATAAAAAATATTAACAAAAGAAATCTTTACTATCATGCACCTTAAACAACAAGTCACATGGTCCTCTATAGGTTCTTGCATCCATGTGACAATTCTTGGTAAAAAATAAACATTCTTTCTTTAGTAAAATACAACAATTTCTTTCTTATTTTTTAGAGAATGAATGACTTATTTGCACTTCATGGAACTTATACCAAAATAGTCTCACTTGTTTTTCTTATCACTAACAAAAGGAAATCATTGCAGAATCTGTGCAAAATGGTGATAAATCCTTAACGCACAATCCATCACCAGAAGAAGCCATGATTGTTTCAACTGTCATCCCATCTTCTGGGCTCCTACCACACCTGAGGACACAACCAAGACAGTCAAATGATTGTACACTCTGGTACTAAAGCCTTGTTCACATTTGCAGTTTGAAGTAACTTAAATCCTATTTGTTTGCATATCCGATTCGAATCTGTTCTTTTTCCTGCAGTCTGAACATACAAAAAGCACATTGAATCTGATATTTCAAGCCACATTTCAAACCTTGGTAGGTAATTTGAAATCAGATACAAATCTGATTCCTGGCCATTCGACTTGTGTCTGAACGGTCAAATCTGATGTATTTGCCCTCAAGTGGTTTTTAGACTGTTATTTGGCATATATTGTTGCTTACTAGCTACTCTGTTGAGATTTTGACAAGAACATGTGGTAGCTAACTAGCTTGTTAATTGTTTACAAACAAATTTGTGAATGCGCTAGAAAGCTAAACAGCTACCTAGCTAGCTAGTTGACTGCTGTGGCTAGCCAAAAAGGACTCGTTTTGAAAGTTGGATCATCTTATCCTATGAGGCTTTAAACGTGTCCTTACACTATGATTTTCAACATTCAAAGCAACTGGGAAACATCCATGGCAGGCATTGTTGTCACGTTAGCTTGATACGTAACCTCTTGAGTGATAGGAAGCACGAGCACCACCATCAATCAGCCTACACGTTACTATGACAACTAGCCAAGTCAGCAAATGACTGCTGTCTGACCACACACAAACCCGATTTGGTCACTTGTAACTTGCTGTTTGGTCAGTCAGTATTTGAAAACAGATTAGAAAATTTAAATCATTAAGCAATAAGGCATGAGAACCTGGGGATTATCGTGTGAATAACCCGAATAAGGGCTGTTCTTAGGCCCAATGCGGAGCGAAAGGCCCAGGGAAACAGCCCTTAGGAGGGAGTTATAGGCTACAAGATAGTTCCCGGGTTCGAGTGCCTTATTGCTTTTATAAAACGATTCCCAACATATTAAAAACAGATGAACAATATGTTTACATTAATAACTTTATTTTAGTGAGTAAATTAATTTTATTTAATACTTCCACCTGACGATATAGTCCGGGGAAAAGCCAGTTGTTAGTTCTGAGATTGTGAAGTTGCTAGCCAAACAGGCTGGTCATTCATTCTATCCATTCTATTTGGCTGGGCTATGCTAAACAAATCATTGGCATGTAGCTACGCAGGCTAGCTACTTCTGCTTTGCTAGCTAGCCAACTAAAGCTAACTCACAATCACACCAAGCAGCTGAATTGACAGCAAACTATGTGCAATTTTGTTTGTTTTACCTTTGTTTCTATTGCCATTTCTATGGATATATCCATTATAATGATCCTATAAATTAATGAATTCGCCTGGCTCAGAGAAGCTGTCAGTCTCATATGGCACAGGGGAGATCGCAACATTGTTGCACAGGTCGGCGAGGCAGGCAGCAAAGTTTAGACAAACCCCCAATGTTGCAAACCTCATGATAGACTTACAAGCATGGGGAAATTTACATTTTAGTCATTTAGCAGATGCTCTTATCCAGAGCGACTTACAGTAAGGAGTGCATACATTTTTGTACTGGTTCCCCGTGGGAATCGAACCCACAAGCCTGGCGTTGCAAGCGCCATGCTCTACCAACTGAGCCACATGGGACCATAATGTCTTAATGCTTTTTTCCAGGGGAGATTACGTTTATGAATGGCCTAGCTGGGCTGTGGCACAGTGGATGCGCATTGACAATTTACATGGAACTGTTAACAGGCAATACCCGGGGATTGTGGTGAATAACTCCCTGCTATCAACCAATCAGCATCCAGGATCCAGGATCCAAACAATCCATTTTATAATATAAAACATCTACACACAACCATACAGGCTAGCCTGAAGACCATGGTCCCAAATGGCACCATATTCCCTATATAGTGCACTAAGTTCTGTACTCGTGCACTATATAGGGAATAGGGTGCCATTTGAGATGCACCCCATGTATGACATATGAAAAAGATCCCACACTGACTGTACCTCCGTATTACTTGGTTTGTTGGTAGGTGTATGGGGAATGATCACCGGATGACTCCACCTGTTGTTGCTGACTGTTGTCCTGGAAGGAAAATTAAGACTGGATAAGGCTCAACAGCAGTTTAGCATCTATAAATACATCAATGGTTATCTATGTGAATTATCTCTTTTATCTAGCATCTATAAACATCCAAGTCGTAAGTATAGCTAAAATCTTATGGGCCTTGTTTCACAGACCTAGTCCTGGACTAAAAATCATTCTTAATGGAGATTCTCCATTGAAATAACTTTTGAGTCCAGAACTAGGCCTAATCTGTGTCTGGTAAACCGGCCCTATAGGTACAGCCAAGGTACAGGACAGCATAAAATAGGATTAATAAATAGTAAAAGAATCTCAAACCTCCACTGGAACATTTGCAGTCTGCATGTGTGTGTACTGGGGAATATAGGCTCCTTGCATAGAGTTTGCAGCCATGTACTGCACAAGGAAGGACAGAACTGTGTTAGCATGAATCCATCTAAATTGCACTATATACAATACAGATTCCGACATCAAATGTACTTCTGGGGCTGTATGCGAGTGTCTCAGAGTAGGAGCACTGGTCTAGGATCAGGTCCATGTAATCTTATTTATTATAATCTAAAAAAGGCTAAACTGATCCTAGATCAGCACTCCTACTCTGAAACGCTTGATACAAACAGCCTTTGCTCTAATTATACAACACATGAACACAGTTTAGAGGTATTTGACCCTGCGACCCCAGATCTCTCACCGTTCCTGTGCTTCCCATGGAGAGATGACTCATCTGCTGAGTGAGAGGGCTCATCATGGATGTAGGCTGTAGTGACATAGTATGGTCCATAGAGGGCGATATCACCGCTCCCTGGGGCAGAGAGTGTAAGAGGATGAGAGCACGATAGCAGAGGCACACAGACATTCATGGATCCTATATTTCTTTGTACTTATAATAAGTAAATGCTACACACACCCACGAATATCATGCAATATCAAAATGGCAGAAACAGAGGAGTGAGAGACAGTGTAAGAGAGAAAGAAGGACAGACCTCAGGTGCGTCCAGAATGGCACCCTATTTCATTTTACATTTTAGTCATTTAGCATACGCTCTTATCCAAAGCGACTTACAGTTAGTGAGTGCATACATTTTCATACTGGCCCCCCGTGGGAATCGAACCCACAACCCTGGCGTTGCAAGCGCCATGCACTACCAACTGAGCTACACGGGGCCCACGTAGTGCACTACTTTTGACAAGAGCCCTATGGAACCTGGTCAAAAGTAGTCCACTGAAAAGGGAATAGGGTGCCATTTAAGACGCAGCCTTCCTGTTAAGTGTCTGGAACTAGTCAGGGCAGATAGGTGGAGCTGGAGAGGGTTAGAATAATACCTAGATTAAACCCTTCCTTTCCTGAATCATGTATCATTCCACAAGGGCATGCCCTCTGTTAGGTTTCAGACCGAGAGGGAGATCAACTGAGCTCAGTGCGTCAGACTTCATATCCTATATCCACATTACAAGGTAGCTGGCCACACTGACTTTAGAAGTCACTGGATGCATCCCAAATGGCACTCTATTCTGTATATAGTGCACAACCTTTGACCAGAGGTGTAGGCACTACATAGGGAATAGGGTGCAATTGGGAAGCAACCACTGACAATCCTGGGTTATTATCACTGAGCAAGCTAGAGGCAAATTGGAGTATTTGTAATTAAAACACCCACTGGGAACCACTATTTCCTTGTAAAAGCAGGTACTACTTTACTGTACAGAACAACAATTACTCAGCTCCCTACCATCTGTTAGGAAATACAAATGGAATCACTCATCAAACACAAGATGTTTGAAGCGCTTCCAACTTGTTGTGTGGTGAGTGGTGAGCATCACCAAGAGAGCCAGGCAGTATTTCACCGTAGTGCCAGTAAATCCCAGAGAGCCCAGTCACACCCTGTATGTGTGGCCTCACTACCATCCATCTTACTTTTCACCTCCCTGTTTCTCCTCTTTTCTAAACATAGAGCAAAGGGAACATCTGCATACAGCTGATCTACACCTGCCCAGAGTAAGAAAGAACAGAAGAGAGAGGAGAGAAGGGAAGGAGAGAAGAGAAGGAGAGGAGAAACATTACATTCCAAGGTGAGGGAAGAAAATGAGGACAGGAGATGATGAGAAAAAGAAGCAGGGGGAGTGAAAGAGAGAGTCAAGTAAGGTTGTTTATTTGGTCTTACTGGGTGCTGCATGATGTAGGGCTGGTGGGTAACCCAGGAGGGATTCTGTACCTGGAACATCACACATTCACTCTGTAAACACACTGGCACAGGTCACAGGGCAGGAGCTATTTCAGGAGCTCACATGCCTCTCTGTTTGGCTCAGCACTACAGGGTGCGTCCCAAATGGCACCCTATTCCCTATAAAGTGCACTACTTGTGCAGTACTTTTGACCAGTACCTATAGGGCTCTGGTCAAAAGTACAAAATTAGTGCACTATACAGGGGATAGGGTGCCATTTGGGACACAGTCCAGGGAGTAAGGCCATAGTGACCTCTCACAGCCCCAGCCCCAAACCTCTAAGGAGAGCCCTCTGAGATAAGTGTTATATAAGGTTAATACATACATACAGACCTGGTCAATTACAGAAAGTGTGTATTATGGGTGTGTAGAACAGTAATGCTACTCAAAGTCATGCAAACCCATCCATCCATATCAATTGAATGAGGTAGATGCCAACCTGGTACGTGGAGATAGGTGAGAGATATGGAGACATGGACGTTTGAGCAATCATCCTGTTTCCGATGCTGTATGGAGACGCATAAAATCTGTAGAGGGAAATTCAAACGTTTATAAAGTCCTACACACCACAAAATAATATGCCTTTGATTTGATTGATTCCTTACTCACAGTTTACCCCCCCCCCCCCAAAAAAAAAATAAAAATAAGTAAATGCTGAATTGACATAATAAAAAATTGCATTATGAACACAGGGGATTTGTTTCGGTGGCTCTTACCCGTTTTGCATAGCCGCTGTGGTGGTGTCGTATGTGAGGGTCATTCCAGCCTGGGGACATAGAAATGAACAAGAGAGCTAAAATGAGACAAGCTAACCCATACCCTGGGGCAACCCACACAAACAGTCACATTAGCCTTAAACAAATCTCCCCTTGACACCTACAGTGGGGAAAAAAAGTATTTAGTCAGCCACAAATTGTGCAAGTTCTCCCACTTAAAAAGATGAGAGAGGCCTGTAATATTCATCATAGGTACACGTCAACTATGACAGACAAATTGAGAAAAGAAAATCCTGAAAATCACATTGTAGGATTTTTTATGAATTTATTTGCAAATTATGGTGGAAAATAAGTATTTGGTCACCTACAAACAAGCAAGATTTCTGGCTCTCACAGACCTGTAACTTCTTCTTTAAGAGGCTCCTCTGTCCTCCACTCGTTACCTGTATTAATGGCACCTGTTTGAACTTTCTATCAGTATAAAAGACACCTGTCCACAACCTCAAACAGTCACACTCCAAACTCCACTATGGCCAAGACCAAAGAGCTGTCAAAGGACACCAGAAACAAAATTGTAGACCTGCACCAGGCTGGGAAGACTGAATCTGCAATAGGTAAGCAGCTTGGTTTGAAGAAATCAACTGTGGGAGCAATTATTAGGAAATGGAAGACATACAAGACCACTGATAATCTCCCTCGATCTGGGGCTCCACGCAAGATCTCACCCCGTGGGGTCAAAATGATCACAAGAACGGTGAGCAAAAATACCAGAACCACACGGGGGGACCTAGTGAATGACCTGCAGAGAGCTGGGACCAAAGTAACAAAGCCTTCCATCAGTAACACACTACACCGCCAGGGACTCAAATCCTGCAGTGCCAGACGTGTCCCCCTGCTTAAGCCAGTACATGTCCAGGCCCGTCTGAAGTTTGCTAGAGTGCATTTGGATGATCCAGAAAAGGATTGGGAGAATGTCATATGGTCAGATGAAACCAAAATATAACTTTTTGGTAAAAACTCAACTCGTCGTGTTTGGAGGACAAAGAATGCTGAGTTGCATCCAAAGAACACCATACCTACTGTGAAGCATGGGGGTGGAAACATCATGCTTTGGGGCTGTTTTTCTGCAAAGGGACCAGGACGACTGATCCGTGTAAAGGAAAGAATGAATGGGGCCATGTATCGTGAGATTTTGAGTGAAAACCTCCTTCCATCAGCAAGGGCATTGAAGATGAAACGTGGCTGGGTCTTTCAGCATGACAATGATCCCAAACACACCGCCCGGGCAACGAAGGAGTGGCTTCGTAAGAAGCATTTCAAGGTCCTGGAGTGGCCTAGCCAGTCTCCAGATCTCAACCCCATAGAAAATCTTTGGAGGGAGTTGAAAGTCCGTGTTGCCCAGCGACAGCCCCAAAACATCACTGCTCTAGAGGAGATCTGCATGGAGGAATGGGCCAAAATACCAGCAACAGTGTGTGAAAACCTTGTGAAGACTTACAGAAAACGTTTGACCTGTGTCATTGCCAACAAAGGGTATATAACAAAGTATTGAGAAACTTTTGTTATTGACCAAATACTTATTTTCCACCATAATTTGCAAATAAATTCATTAAAAATCCTACAATATGATTTTCTGGATTTTTTTTCCTCATTTTGTCTGTCATAGTTGACGTGTACCTATGATGAAAATTACAGGCCTCTCTCATCTTTTTTAGTGGGAGAACTTGCACACTTGGTGGCTGACTAAATACTTTTTTTCCCCACTGTATGTAGACTAATTACTGTATTTACACCTCATAACTCTGTCAAAGAGTTTTAGGTATAAGATTGAACCTTGACGTATGTTTATTAAAATTGGAACTAGACTGTTTTTACACATACAAACACATAGCCTTTGTGTGAGTTCTCCTGTCTGAACACCCTTCCTATAGATGTGCTCTTCCATGTACAGTAATCCCACGCCATCCAACATGCATACTGAAACGAAAGGGCAGCAGCACTCACCAGTCTTGCATCGCCGTCTCTAGCCCACGCACGGCCGTTCTGCACATATTTATACTGGCTCTGCCTCTTTTTCTGCCCGCCGTCAGCAAACTTACACAGCAAGGGCTCCAGTGGCACTGGAGAGAAAGAGAAAGTGAGAGAGCGAGAGAGAGAGGGGGGGCCAAAGGGAGAGAGAGGGGACAAAGGGAGAGAGAGGGGACAAAGGGAGAGAGGGGGGGACAAAGGGGGAGAGAGGGGGGACAAAGGGGGAGAGAGGGGGGACAAAGGGAGAGAGAGGGGACAAAGGGAGAGAGGGGGGACAAAGGGAGAGAGGGGGGGACAAAGGGAGAGAGAGGGGACAAAGGGAGAGAGGGGGGGGACAAAGGGAGAGAGAGGGGGGACAAAGGGGGAGTGAGAGGGGACAAAGGGGAGAGAGAGGGGGACAAAGGGAGAGAGAGGAGACAAAGGGAGAGAGAGGGGGGACAAAGGGGGAGAGGGGGGGACAAAGGGGGAGAGAGGGGGGACAAAGGGAGGAGAGAGGGGGACAAAGGGAGGGAGAGGGGACAAAGGGTGAGGGAGGGGGGACAAAGGGAGAGAGAAGGGAAAAGGGAGAGAGATGGGGGACAAAGGGGAGGAGAGAGGAGACAAAGGGAGAGAGAGGGGGGGACAAAGGGGGAGAGAGAGGGAGACAAAGGGAGAGAGAGGGGGACAAAGGGGAGAGAGAGGGGACAAAGGGAGAGAGAGGAGACAAAGGGAGAGAGGGGGGACAAAGGGAGAGAGAGGGGACAAAGGGAGAGAGAGGGGACAAAGGGAGAGAGGGGGACAAAGGGAGAGAGTGGAGACAAAGGGAGAGAGAGGGGACAAAGGGAGAGAGGGGGGACAAAGGAAGAGAGAGGGGGGACAAAGGGGGAGAGAGGGGGGACAAAGGGAGTGAGAGGGGACAAAGGGTGAGGGAGGGGGGACAAAGGGGGAAGAGAGAGGAGAGAGAGACAAAGGGAGAGAGAGGGACAAAGGGAGAGAGAGGGGACAAAGGGAGAGAGAGGAGACAAAGGGAGAGGGGGGGACAAAGGGAGGAGAGAGGGACAAAGGGGAGAGAGGGGACAAGGGGAGAGAGGGGGACAAAGGGAGAGAGTGGAGACAAAGGGAGAGAGAGGGGACAAAGGGAGAAGAGAGAGGGGACAAAGGGAGAGAGTGGAGACAAAGGGAGAGAGAGGAGACAAAGGGAGAGAGAGGGGACAAAGGGAGAGAGAGGGGACAAAGGGAGAGAGTGGAGACAAAGGGAGAGAGAGGGACAAAGGGAGAGAGAGGGGGACAAAGGGAGAGAGAGGGGACAAAGGAGAGAGAGGGGACAAAGGGAGAGAGAGGAGACAAAGGGAGAGAGAGGGGACAAAGGGAGAGAGAGAGGGGGACAAAGGGGAGAGGGGACAAGGAGGGAGGACAAAGGGGAGAGAGAGGGGACAAAGGGAGAGAGAGGGGACAAAGGGAGAGAGAGGGGACAAAGGGAAGAGAGAGGGGACAAGGGAGAGAGAGGGGACAAAGGGAGAGAGAGGAGACAAAGGGAGAGAGAGGAGACAAAGGGAGAGAGAGGGGACAAAGGGAGAGAGAGGGGACAAAGGGAGAGAGAGGAGACAAAGGGAGAGAGAGGGGACAAAGGGAGAGAGAGGGGACAAAGGGAGAGAGAGGAGACAAAGGGAGAGAGGGGGGACAAAGGGAGAGAGAGGGGACAAAGGGAGAGAGAGGAGACAAAGGGAGAGAGGGGGGACAAAGGGAGAGAGGGGGGACAAAGGGAGAGAGAGGAGACAAAGGGAGAGAGGGGGGACAAAGGGAGAGAGGGGGGACAAAGGGAGAGAGAGGGGACAAAGGGAGAGAGAGGAGACAAAGGGAGAGAGGGGGGACAAAGGGAGAGAGAGGGGACAAAGGGAGAGAGAGGAGACAAAGGGGGAGGCAGGTAGCCTAGTGGTTAAGAGTGTTGGGCCAGTAACCGAAAAGTCGCTGGTTCGAATCCCTAGGTAGACTAGGTGAAAAATCTGTCCATGTGCCCTTAAGCAAGGCACTTAACCCCAATTGCTCCTGTAAGTCGCTCTGGATAAGAGCATCTGCTAAATGACTAAAATGTAAATGTTACTGTACAGTCAATCAGGCAGCTAACTGAGCCTGGGAGTGGGCTTTTAGCCCGGCTGAGAAACACAGGACATCTCATTTGACAGCTGTGGCCCTGTAATCCCTGTCCTTTACTAAAGGCGGCAGGGCCAGAGGACACTATTTCAGTCGATTAATCCAATTAAATAGCTTAGACTGGGAAAGAACGCAGCTCTCCAGCCACAGAAGGCACTCTGCCTCTTAGTAGAGGGTCTATGGCACTAGGGCCCTGGTCAACAGTAGTGCACTATATAAGGAAAAGGATGCCATTTTGGACACAGACCCAACCTCCTGAAGGGACCACAGATCTGCTGCTTGACCACTCACTGTATTGGTTCACATCCCAATGAACCAATAGGCAATCCATCTTTTACTGTAATTTGAAGCTGTTTAATAAAAGAGCTAACACTTGAGAGCCAGTGCAGCTGATGAAAGAGTGAAAAATAATTGGTTGGTAGAAATCGGTCTCTTACCAGCAACTCCAGGTGGTGTCTTAATAAACTTCCCGTTGAAGTGAGAGATAACTGAATCACATTTCTCTGTCGACTCCATCCTGAAATACGCAGGAGATGAGAAGTTAAATCAATTTCATTATATATACTGCAGAATCACATGGTGGCATCCTACAGTGCTTTATGTTTTAGACTGAATATAAATGTAGACTTTCCAATAAATGTTTTTTAAATGGATCAATATCCTGGGCTTTAATCTTGGTTGCAGGTCCTAGAGTGTACTTGAGGTTAATATATATTCATATAGAAATGTAATATAGTAAATATATCTCTGCTCTGGATCTGGGGTAACATGCATGCAGGCAGGGACTTGACCACACACCCTCTCATAGACAGACAGAATATTGTGTTTCTGCTTTGTGAATCAAGGGCTTGGCCTCCCTTTCAGGTTAGTCAGTCAAGTGTCCTGTTATGTGAGCATGAAAGGCGGCGGTCCACGTTAACACTATAATTACACCACCCCAGTCATAACGAAACTGATCTTCAACAGGCACTTCAATACATTAACTCTTCATCGTCCATTAAAATCCACGTCTAACCAAAGTGTGTTCACTCATTCTCTCTGGGGAAAAGTGGAAATACAATAGCTCCTCACTGCAAATGAATGGGCTATAATCAAGCAATGCAGTTGGGAATTTTGATTACATGATAATACATTTTTAGCCTGATCTGTTTGTGCTCTTGTAAACTCCATTGCTATCCTTGCCAAGCCAAACATTGGTTTTGCACGACAATGAATGACAAGGAGTTGGCGTGATAGCACAAATGGACTGGCATTTAGGCTATCAATTTCAGTCATGTGAATAAAAATGCCATTCATGAATGTTGGGTTGTGGCTCCTGTTCATTCTACTACTAGTGGCTGACCTTGCAAAGCCCACCCCTCTACTGGCTCCATTGGAGTCCCTCAGTATTCGGGTAGAGATGACCTGGCCAAAGGGCTTGAGCATGGTCTCAAGCTCCTGCTCGTCCATCGACAGCGGCAGGTTTGAGATATACAGGTTGGTGGGGTCTTGTTCTTGTTGCTGCGTGGTGATAAAAGACAGGAAGCATTGACATGTTAAGACACTTAAGAACAATCTTGACACAACCTGGAAAAACACCTCAAACATTTCAACTCCATCTCTTCATTGGCATCAATTTCACTTTCAGGCACGGCAGTCATATCCCTTGAATAATTCCTACTCTCTGTCTGTGTCCCGAAATGCACTCTATTCCCAATATAGTGCACTACGTTTGTCCAGAGCCCTTGACCAGGGCCCATAGGGCTCTGGTCAAACGTAGTGCACTGTATAGGGAATAGGGTGCCATTTGGGACACACACTCTGAGATCGCTTTGACAGGGGTTAACCCTGGCCATGATGTCTCTCTCTACCTCTGCTGTCTTTGTCTGCCTGGGTTTTTAGCTAATAAAGGGTCACCATGAATAGTGATTTGCATGCAGCCCACGGCTGGTTGAGACCCACATCAGCTGATTTCTTCCTGTATTTCAATAGCATCAGCAGAAATATAAGACATAGCTATGGGTCCCCGGGTAGCAGCCGCTCACCATTAATATTCATCAGCGTCCTGCCGCATTCTGTACCCAGCCTAACACACTGGATTGGATTACTAAGGTATAACGCTGACAGAAACATTTACACCCAACTATTAGGAACAATGAATTGGCCCCACACTGAACAGAACAGCAGAGCAAAGCACCCAGTGGAGGTGTTCAATCAGAGGGATTGGTAAGGAGTTGAGGGAGGGATGGATGGAGGAAGGGAGGAGTGTGTTTCAGCACTCAGCAGCTCCAGGGTGGGTGTGCTGCTCTAATAACTCTAAAGAGCTCTCTAGAATGGAAAGAAAGGGTGGCCATCAGCAACAATCCTCCCTGCTCTCACACACACACACACACAAATTATATTCAAGGGCAAAAAGACTGCCTTACCATTTTATCCTTTATGGCTTCCCTAAAGGGTAATGGTGAAGCATTCATCCAGTTAAATGACCTTTAAAAATATATATATTGAATAAGCCACAGATATCCATTCAGGATAGCAGGCTGCCTACATTATGTGTTAAAACACAGGAAGTATGGAATATATGATAGATGGAAAATCAAACTAACTTAGTCAACACACAACCTGTATTCCACAGAGAATTTCACTCGTAATGTATTCAGTGGATCAAAGGGAGGAATGAGTGTAGGATAATTACCACATGGTTTACCCGTGAGTCATCCCGAATAGGAGTTCTCTTAGTATAAGCCCCGACTCACTCCTAACTCCGCCATCATCTGACAGAAATTAGAGAGAAAAAAGTATTTCTGTGCGTGTGAAGCGGCTCTTAAAATGTAGGGACCCGAAATTTGGCAGTGAAATAAGACATCTGTTTGTGCAGCAGTGAATGGGGTCACCAGCAAAACAAGCAATGTGACTGAGGCGTGCTCATTGAGGGTTATGTCTAGAAGGGATACAGCTTTTGTCAAAATTGACTTTTCGTAGCAGGTTTAGGAGAACTTAGGCAGCAGGTTAGGAGGGCCAGTGGCGGCTGATGGGAGGAGGAGGGGAAGGGTGGCGTGGCAATTGCTTGTCTAGCCGGAGAGGGAGTCCCTCCAAATGCTGTGCTTAGGCCACAGGGTTATTATTATGGTCATCTGTTCATGTCCAAAATCAGTAGGAAAGTAGACCTCACTCATCTGTCATTACTAGGGGATGTTCACGTCATCCTAAACAAGTTTATGCACTTACAATATTATGATACAGACACATTGTATCATTATTATGTTATATTGGACTCCTTCTGTAAAATGTTAGAATGTGAGAATATAAGTATGCAATCCATCTAGGAAAAGGAACATATCTAGGCGGTAATCACACTGGGAGAGCATTTTCAACAGGAAACCCTCATCTGCTGACTTCCCACCCACCTGCCTTTGAAAAAATAATGAGTGAATGCCTATTGAATGTTTCCCGGGCAGAGAGAAAATACCTTTGTTTGGGGAGTCCATTAAGCCCAAGCAAGCCCTGGTAATAATGAGAAAAAGTTAACTGAAAAGGCTCTGACTTTTAAATGGCCTTTACCTTGAACAATGCCTAGATTAAATATAGGCATTCCTCACAAAAAAAGCTTTATTTTTATTAAAAGTTAAATAGGTGCACAGAGGCATGTCAAGAAGCGGCGGATTTTGAGGATTCTTGTTTAGGCTTTGCGGGCCTGATTTCCACAACTTTAACTGGCTCGGTTGCCACGGCAACCTCCAAATTATTTACATCCCTTTCTTCTGTCCAAGAATGTAAACTACCTTGTTCAAAGTTATTACAGCCCCTGCTGCCCCTTTGAAGACCGACAATGTGAATTCTCTGCCCAATTGACTCACACCAGAAACTGGTCTCAAAACACTCCAGTAATGCTTTACTGAGCTCAGTCTGCCTGACACATAGGACTTTCAAAGGACTTCTATAACAGGACAAACTTGCTACATGTATGCTGCTTATAACCCTTTCATTACAGTCTGTCTAGTTAGTTAGGCCTTTTAAAGTGACACAAGTTGGTGTGCCTTCAGTGAGTAATGCTGCAGCAAGCTAGATCGGTTACACGCAAAATGCAAGGCTCATGACTCATGCTTCTCAAACTAATATCCGTCTTCACCACCTCGTCTTATTCAAAGTTTCACATTACTTTTATCCTCTTTTGCCTCCAAATTTCCACAGCAATACTTCCAGGAAGCTTGAGAGAGAACCTAATGGCTCATCTAATTTATCCACTTTACTTTCTTACACTGTAAACATATATGTTTATACAAGCACATGTGAATCATTGTCCAGTAATTTTAGAGCTAAGAGTCTGTGAGACAAGAATATTCGGCATTGTGTCAAAAAGCAGCCTTCACCTGTCCTGCCTAAAGCCAAGGCGCTCAAACTTGTCTCAGTGCCAGTCTGCGCTTTGAACCCATTAAGACTTTCTAAACCTGGAACACCGTTCATTGACATTTACATCTTCTTTGGATGTGGAGCGAGAAAACAGGAGAAGATACTGTATTTCCCAACAATTTGTGCCTTGGTTGGTTGTGCTTGCAAAACCTAGTTGGCTGGAACCGGGTTTGGAAAGGCTAGTGTAAATGAGCCCTTTGAACAGACAAGATGAGCCTCCTTTAGAAAGGACACACTGCATGCGTCCCGAAAGGCACCCTATTCCCTATATAGTGGACAACTTTTGACCAGGGCCCTAGTGCACTAAATAGGGAATAGGCTGTCAGTTAGGACACAGCCTGTCCTATGAGCCTCCTTTAGAAAGGACACACTGAGTCCTCTCTGCTCCTGCTGAGGCTTAGACACACGTCCCCAGGGGCAATTCCTGCTCCAGCACGTCACCCTGTTGTCATCGCAGAGTATCACCAGCCTGTTCTCTCCACCCAACAGTCTGCCTATCGGTGCCACTCACTCCTGGAGCCCCTCCAAAGTGTGTGACAGGATACTTTTAGGAACTGTCAAGCACACCACCACCACACACACACACACACACACACACGCAAGCACACAAACTCAAGAGCTCACACACACACACACACACAAAGGCAAGAACACACACACGAACGCAAGAGCACTAACACAAACACACACAAGCAAGCACGCACACACACACTACTATGGGCTCATGTTACCGCACAGTGACCACAGAGTCACAGGGGGGCTGCAGACAAACTCGAGAGGTACACATGCACCCCTGGCAGGGAGATGCCTATCCATCTAAGTAATGCTGGGTGGGTCAGGTTTTTGCTGCCTATAAATGGAATACCCAAATCCATTGGACATTGTGTATTGTCAGGTGTTTGTGAGAATAGGAATAGACTGCAAGCATACCCTCACCTTAGCCATCTGGGCTTGGACCCCGCTGGTCTTCAGGGCAGTGACGGCTTTCTGAGCTGCAGCAGGGCTGTCAAAGTCCACAAAGCCGTAACCTGAGGGACAGAACACCACACCAGTCAAGCCTACCTGGAAAGACAACCATCCTAATTCATCATTCAGTTGGCAATGCAATTAACAGTATAACAATTACGGGCCCTGGTCAAAAGTACTTCACTACATTTCTCTCTCTCTCTCTCTATATATATATATATATATATATATATATATATATATATATATATATATATATATATCTATATCTATATCTATATATCTATATCTATATCTATATATATATATATATATATATATATATATATATATATATATATATAGCTGTGGAAAAAATTAAGAGACCACTGCAAATTTTTCTTAAATCAGCATCTCTACATGTATGACAGCCATTCCATTCCAGTGTCTGTTGAATTCCAACATAGGCACACCTCATTCTACTGAATTAGGTACTGATTAGGTGATCACATAAACCAAATCTTATTTAACGAGGAAAAGTATAAAAACCACTGCTGTGGTCATCACTATCCTCTTGCAATAGGACCAGCTGGATGGCAAAAACTGTGCGAATTGTACCTCAAATGTAATATTAATCAAAGAATAACTATTGACCATGCCAAAAGAGTTGAAAAGGAAAGTTTTGAGTGAGGAAAAGAAGGGTTCAATTCTGGCTTTACTGGCAGAGGGATACAGTGAGCGTCAGGTTGCTTCCATCCTTAAAATTTCAAAGACGGCGGTTCATAAGAACAAGGTCAAGCAGCAGACATTGGGGACAACAAAGCTACAGACTGGCAAAGGGCGAAAACGACTCTCTACTGACCGGGATGACCGCCAACTCATTCAAATGTCACTCAACCGTAGGATGACATCAAGTGACCTACAAAAATAATGGCAAACGGCAGCTGGGGTGAAGTGCACAGCGAGGATGGTTCGAAACAGGCTCCTAGGGGCAGCGCTGAAGTCGTGCAAAGCTAGAAAAAAGCCCTTCATCAATGAGAAACAAAGAAGAGCCAGGCTGAGGTTTGCAAAAGACCATAAGGATTGGACCGTAGAGGACTAGTCAAATTTTCAGCTTTACCCAACACCTGGTCGTCTAATGGTTAGACAGAGACCTGAAGAGGCCTTCAAGCCACAGTGTCTCGCACCCACTGGGAAATTTGGTGGAGGATCGGTGATGATCTGGGGGTGCTTCAGCTAGGCTGGAATTGGGCAGATTTGTCTTTGTGAAGGACGCATGAATCAAGCCACGTACAAGGTTGTCCTGGAAGAAAACTTGCTTCCTTTTGCTCTGACATTGTTCCCCAACTCTGAGGATTGGTTTTTCCAGCAGGACAATGTGCCATGCCACACAGCCAGGTCAATCAAGGTGTGGATGGAGGACCACCAGATCAAGACCCTGTCATGGCCAGCCCAATCTCCAGACCTGAACCCCATTGAAAACTTCTGGAATGTGATCAAGAGGAAGATGGATGGTCACAAGCCATCAAACAAAGCCAAGCTGCTTTCATTTTTGCGCCAGGAGTGGCATAAAGTCACCCAACATCAATGTGAAAGACTGGTGGAGAGCATGCCAAGACGCATGAAAGCTGTGATTGAAAATCAGGGTTATTCCACCAAATATTGATTTCTGAACTCTACCTAAGTTAAAACATTAGTATTGTGTTGTTTAAAAATAAACATGAACTTTATTTTCTTTGCATTATTCGAGGTCTGACAACACTGCATCTTTTTTGTTATTTTGATCAGTTGTCATTTTCTGCAAATAAATGCTCTAAATGACAATATTTCTATTTGGAATTTGGGAGAAATGTTGTCAGTAGTTTATAGAATAAAACAAAAACTTTATTTTTACCCAAACACATACCTATAAATAGTAAAACCAGAGAAACTGATAATTTTGCAGTGGACTCTTAATTTTTTCCGCAGCTGTGTATATATATATATATATATATAGACACACACTGTACTGTATTTATTCTTTTTTTTAAAATTATTATTGTAATTTAGCAGACACTCTTATCCAGAGTGCCTTACTGTAGTGAGTGCATATATTTTCATACTTTTTTGTACGATACAGGGAATAGGGTGCCATTTGGTTGGCACTTTAAATCTCAGATCAACATTGACGTCTACAGCAAGCAAAAAGTGACAGGATGTGATTGACAGCCAACACAGTGAGGCCAGGCCAGAGGCCACCATGTTCTGTGGTTGACCCCCACCTCTCTGTGGCCCATGGTGGTCAGTCAGTGCCTGGTGGTGAGGTAGTGTAGTAGGCCGGGGGAGCAGAGCACAGTGCTGAAGCTGCAGATTGCAGTGATGACGCCCAGGGCTCAGGTCAGCTCATTGTCCCCTTGGGCTACATGCAGGCCAGAGT